TCCGGAAGATCGGAGCCCTACGGACGGGGACTGTCCACGGTCAGAGAGCGCAGTAGCCCCGGGAAAGCGCGATGCACTGTATTCCGTTCTTCCCGAAGCTGACAGTGCGGTGGAAGCTACGTGCTAGTTTGACCAATCGCACGTATATCTACTGCCACGTGACCACGCTACCGCCCGTACCCATGTGCAGAGAGCGTGGGGTCGGGTGATGATTAGGCCGGCGAACGCGTAGCTAGGAGCGCACTGTCAGTTCGGGGCTGGCGAGAGTGAAAGGGCACGCTGCTACTGCTGCTACTCGCGCTGCCCGCCTCATGTCCCGTTGCGGAAACACGCGGCCGGAAGCCGGGAAACAAAGCGCTCGGTTCGAGGCTAATAAAATAAAAAGGAAAGTCACGTGCCATCCAAGAGGGATCCTCCGTCGAAGCCACCGCCAAGTCGGCTATGAACTTGCCTGGTTCGGGGTAGCTACATGTCCCCTTCTCCAAGCATACAGCATACTCTTTTCGTATAAACATCTGCATTTCATTTTTTTTTTTTTTTTGTGGTTACAAACGTGGGAATGTTAATGTAAACAGATAACAGATGCGATTACATACAGGAACAACTTTCAGTGGCGACGCAGTCAAAAGTACTGGAGCGCGTGCTTGAAAGCTGACTAAAACTGAAAGCACGCACTCCTGTTAGCAAATGCCACGGAGCGTTGTCCCCGAGTGTAGATAAATAGCGGTTTAGAGAGCAAGAAGGCTTATCCTTCAGATGGCGTCTGCACTCAGAGGTGTCCGCACTATATGGCTGAGCTATTCTTTCCATCGTTTTAACATTTTGAATGCGTCGCGTGGCAGTTTCCATGCAAGCATAACTGTTATTGCGCTCTCGGAGGATGAAGGTTGCAAGTATCCAGCCCCTTTAATCGTTTAAAGCGGGAGTTGACGACCGGCGGCCCGCTGGCCGCATCCGGCCTGCGATGAAATATTATACGACCCCCGGCGAACCACCAGATATGGCCCCCCTACAAACGCTTCAGCGCTAAAACACACACACTCCAGGACAAGAGGTACGTCGGGTTGCAAACCCGGTAGAGTCGGGCGTATTAACTCAGAACAATGTCAAGAGATTTGCCAGAGAGAGTCCGGCTATCAGCTGGTCACAAACAGAGAATAAGCTGAAAGATGCATTTGCAGCAAAAGAACTTCGTTAAGTTTTCCGCTGGCCTCCCCAAAGTTTTCAAATCTACGAAGTCTCGCAGCGCGGCCTTGATCGAAGTGTTGCCTACAGCACGTATATATTTGCGAACGTACTTTTTCAAGATGAAGACCATGAAGTCGAACGTGGGTCCTGCGAATGGCAGATGAGCACCTTCAAAATGTTTTACGACAGTCAGTTCAGAGTTTTAATGCAAATGTTCGCATCTTGGCAAGCAGTATTGAACACCCCAAATCTTACTGAGGAGCTCAAGCAATCTTACCTTACGTGTGCCTGAATCAATATATATTTTCATATAACTTTGAGTATGTGGCAGTCGTGTTACAGAGGCTAATCGCCCCCCCCCCCCCCTTCTCTTTTTTCTTTTTTTCGTTTCTTTGTTTGGCTTGTTCCATCTCCGCTTTGCGACGATTTTGTCCGCTGCAACAAAGGGTTGCCGACCACTGCTTTAAAAGGACGCTGAAGGCCATTTCACTCTTTATAGTTAACGTGTTTTACGATTGACACATCCAAAACTATGGTCGGTTACAGGATAATAACTCGGTAGAAGTTCTGCGTCCAGCACCTACTCGCCGCCTTCAACTAGGCTGAGGCTGCGCGTTCAACGAAGTGTTATCAAAGGCAGAAATATCTTAATGGAGACGGAGCATCTATCGCATTCTTAAAGGGACACTGACAGGGTGTTATGCTCGCCAATGCTTTTTATTTGTACATGGCATATATGAGCCCAACTACCCAGAAAACAAATCGCGGCTGGAAATTCGTTTTCTTTCCGCCCGAAAACCGCCGATCGAGAACATCCCGGTTTGAGCCACGCTCACTCTCTTCTCCGTGGTCACGAGCCGTTTTCTATGGTCTACACAGAGCCACCAAATGTAATCAAAGTCGCTGGTCATCGAAGGCACACATACAATATTAAGAATAAAAAAGAAATATGATACCCATTTTTTGTGGCTTCTAAAAAGCTCCAAATAGGTTGATATAAGAAAAAAAAAAAAAAAAAGCTGCAGACTTACGTGATTTTCGCCAACCCTCTCCTCCTCTACATTTCTTCTTCCTCCCCAGTCCGGTTTCGGTTTCAAGCAGTTCCGTTTTTTTTTTTATTTTATTAAAAACATATATGACTCTGTAGCAAAATTTTGACTGGATAGTCTTCTGACACCATAATAAATCGCCTAACTAAAAATAAAAAAAAATAAAAAAAATTGGGGCATGTCTGTTCCTTCAGCCTGTCACCGACTATGTAAGTATTCTGGCGATTGCCGATTGCAACAATACGCCAGAGACTCCACAGCGAGCAGCACACAACGTCTCGGTAACACGAAGGCCTCGCGGGTACCCTTCAAAAACCGTGAAGGCCGTTCGAAGCTTCCTCCGGTTGATGTAACAGAAGTCAGTGTGCACAGAGGAGGGCAGTGTTTACGAATCGCTTTGCACAAATGTGGTCACTGAAGTAGCTCCGCCCTCCCAAAAAACCGGTCATCGCGCGTGCCGTCACTCGTGCTGTTTGTTTCGTAAACAGCACGGTCGTCTACACACCGTCATAAAACAAACTACCGCGAAAGGAAAAAGAAAAAAGCCGACTACGGACGCGAGCAGAGAAAACGCGGTCGGGCCTCGTCGAGGAGTCTGGTTGTGGATGTGCGCGACGAGCAGTGCGGGTGGGTCGATCGGCAGCCATTAGCTGCAGGTCCGTCCGTCCGTCCGGCGGGTGTCCCTCCGTTTCCGATGCGTCCATATCCGGAGAGACGCGCTATTTCCGCTTCCGCACGAGCTCCCTCCGCGCCACGGCCACCCCCCCCCCCCCCCCCCACACACACACACACACAACGTCCCACCCATGGGCGATGACCCGCCTGGCATCGAGATCCGATTGTAGGTCTCGAGTTCATGTGCCTTCACATCGCAGAGACGAACAAGTGAGAGAAGAACCGGAACAGAGGACGGTGAAAACGTTAACTAGTTCATAAAATTTATGAACCGCACAACTCTCGAATTAGTGAACACATTCTTTTCAATTTCGGTTCGTTTAAATAAAGGTTAAAAAAAAATAAAGCAAACAATAAGCGAGAAAAAAAATCAATTAATTTTTTACTTTTTAGTTAGGAACTAATATTTAGAATTAACTGAGAAACGAAGTTTTAGAAATATGAACAAATATTTCCTCAGAAAAAGCTCGATGTGATCTTTACTGTTCAGTTAAATGAAGCTAAAAGAAATTACACAATTTGTTCGGAAGAAACGGAAGTTCAAAGTCTCTTATAACGAAAGCACTAAGAACTGTGCAATATCTTGCCTTTGAGATCTAACACAAACGTATAGTTTTCCGAATCTGACGAGTAAAGGGTCGAGGTTTCCGAGAGATGCAATATGCAGGTATGTTTTCCGATGCGAAGATCACTTTCAAACAGATAAAAAAAGTGTGGGCGGCATTTGTCGATATTAAGAGCATAAAGAGTCTCGTCGTCCTAGGCTGCACAAGCAATCATGACCTTGTACTTATCTGACTTAATTGAAGGAAAGCAGAAACAAAACGCACCGATCGACATTTACAACAATAAAAAACTGAATGCAGTCGTCGCAGGATGATTAGTTCAGATGTGGAAACTCTACACAATGGAAGACAAGTCTTCCGCAAAATATGGCGCATTGTTTTTCAGCAGTGCAAGGCAATGTTGAGAGCGCAGTACAATTAGTAAGCCACGCGGTTTAAGAAGGACATGCACTGCGCGACACAGCGCGGAAAAGATAGGCGGTTTTTTTTTTCGCGTTTAACGGTTTCAGCTTTTTGACAAACAGCGAATCGTGCCTCCTAAGTTCTACGATGTGCGAAAAACAAATCGAAACTAGCGCGAAATTAGGAACGCTCAAAAAAAAGTTCTACATCACTTTTTTTTTTTTTAAGACGGTATTAATTGGGCGAAAATTCCAAACAAGTTTTCAACGAAACCATATTAGCGGCTTACGTGCAGTAAGCACACTCGTTTTCCACAAATACCTTGGAACGATTTGGTACGTTCCGAATTTCGCACGACTTTTCCTCAGTTTTTCGCATGTGTTCGACCTTCCAAAGCACGGGTCCGTACGCTGGTGAGATGAACACCACGCGAACACTTCAGTTATGCGTAACAACAGGAAATGCCAAGGTAAATTGAGCGGGGTAACTAGAGGCGAAGTATTGAACAGAGTTACCACACATTTAAATCCGAAATTCGAGTGGTCTCGAAGGGTTTTGATGACACCAATAATACGTTTTTCGATGACCCAGAAACCATAAATTTCGTTATTTTTCATCAGCGTTTGCTTCGAATGTATTCTTAGTGCTCGTTAGCGAGAAGGACTACCTACTACATAAGGGATATTTATACGGTTTCACACTCAGTGAACAACACTGTCAAAACTGCAGACGCGAGCGCGTGGCTTCGTTTAGCGCGCGAGCACGTGCAAATAAACCACAACATCACATCACACGCTCGCGCCAGCAGCTTTCAGAGCGTTGTACACAAAGTATGAAACGGAGAATAGTTCGCAAAACGCAAGGGAGAAATTTATGCATAAAATTACTCGATACAACACATGCAAAGTTAGCTAAAGTTAGAACGACAATTGTAATCCACCCGATCGTAATTTTAGAACGTGAAGTCTGCTTTTTGATTATTACTGTTAAAATTAAAGGGTCCAATAGTCGAAAGTTTTAAATGCCTCCAGAATTGTAGCTTTATACCCAATCAACGAAATAAAGCAACTTAAAAAAAAAAAGGTGGGAAATTTTTGGTTGAAGGCTGACAGCATGGTACCTGTCCTGCTTGCAGAGGATGCCTTTCCGAAGCAGCGCTCCCCGGAGGCAGTCGAGCACCTGGTCTGGCGTCAGGTCGGCCGGCATCGTGGACACGTTCTGCATCACCTGCCCCCCGCAGAAGGAACCCCGCACGCGTCTTGAGCACTAGCGGAGACGAGGGCACCACACGGGCACAGCAAAATACCTTTCGCATAAATCCCACAAGAACGCGAGCGAAGCGCGCAAAAAATTATGGGTATCTCCTGTATGATCTTTCTTGAGCTCGCGCAGCATCAACCACGCGAACATTGAAGAGAGTGAGAGAGGCGAATAAAGAAATATAGAAAGTGTAGCGCTCAATGGCCCGATCGCCTGCGCTTCCTTCGTCGTCTGCAACAGCAGGTTCTATACAGGTGCTTCCCAGCAATTCTTCCGGAGCCGCGGACGACTCCACACGTTTCGGAAGGTCTACGGGAGGAGAAAATAAAGTATAAAAAGAATGTCTGCACCTTTTTTTTTACGTTGCTGTTTTCGTTTTTGCTAATGAAAACTTGGCCTTTTTTGTTCACAGCGGAAAAACCGCAAGGCGTTGCACTTGCTGAGCGGGGTGCGACATGGGAAAGCGAGCGACTAATCACGACGGCGTTAATTGTATCGCAATTGGTTCATTATTGTTCCTGCCAAATGAAGCTGCAATCTGAAAGCCTCTCCTTTCGTCAGGAGGCGATTGCGGCTAGCCCTGCCCTGTTGGTATTACGCTCCCAGTGACTAAAAACCAAGTAGCGGGCTATAGTGAGCAAGTGTTTACCATGACGGTATCACATTCCCATTGCAATAGTCCAACTGACTTGAAAAAAATCCACACCGTCAACGCTTAAAAAAAAAAAGAAAGTTGATTTCAGCCAGCTGAACATCGCGCTCAACACGTTTAGGAAGCTAAAAAAAAAAAGACACGCAGCGGAACGCACGTATGTAAATGTGGCAACATACGCTAGGCGCCTTCTACACACATATAGTGTGCCACATAAAGATGCGCCTTGCAGTTGAATACAAACATCCCGGACATTATCGTGGAAGTAGGCGATTACCAATCCCACAAATGTCACAAGCTTACAAATGACTAACCATGGACTTCAATCGAGCAATGGAGAAAGTTAATGACGAAACGCCCAAGCCTCTACAAGCCCGTATGGCGAGAGCCAGCATCGAAGAACACATCCCCGAACACGAGCTCATGGCTACCGGCTCGGTTTACAGAAAAGAACACTTAGTATTCATTACCGCGCGCGCGCAGCAGCAGTGTGTCCCGCACAGCGAAAGCCCGCCACGCAGTAGAAGGGGACCTTCACAAAAGGGCTCGCTGACGCAATTAACGAACAATTACACCGAGACATGCGCACTCCGAGCATCGCCGCGCTCAAACTGCGCATGCGTAATCGGGTTACTTTAACTAGCTCCATGCCAGCAGCCGGGTGACCCTTTTATTTACTGCAAAAAAGGGTAGCTCGGCTTTATTTGCTCCTTCCCTATGCGTTTGTTCTTTCGAGGGGCTTCCTCATGAACGCGACGCGTTCGCGTGCGGTGCTTCGAAAGGTCGACGACGTCTTTTGGGACGCTAATCAAGTTACCCCGTCGACGTTGAAACTGGAGCCCGCCGGCTTCACCCTGAACGCTTCTCCGCACAACAACGGCGCTGCGTGATGGATTAGGGCAGTTTCTGCGGCGTACGCGAAGAGATGGTCCTTTATTAACGCTTTCTCTCTCTCTTTATTTCTCCCCCCTCCCCTTATTCCTTGCCGCCCCCGCCCCGCCCGCCCCCCTTCTCCCCCCTTTCCCCCAATCGTTCGACCTGCTAACGAAAAGCGGGACACATCAGGGAGCGCCCGCAAGCTGGCTTCCCGCTTTGGTTAGCGAGCAATGCAGGGGAGTTCGATTGCGGGGCCAAAGCTTGACGTTTTGCGAACTCGCCAATGTTGTAAAGGTGGGCTCTTTCACACGCAGCGTCGAGCTCAACAAGCGCTAATATAGCGTTCAGTTAGCGCTCTACTTTCCCCATCTTACAGCAGGAGTTTTCTGCTGACACCTTCCAGAACCGCTTGAAAACTTTGGAGAATTTTTATTAAATTGCTGGCGGTAGCAGTGCGGTTTGGCACCGTGAAAGGCTAAGAACTCTCCTCCGAGATTCCTAGAGTTTTACATTCTTTCGCACACTTCTGACTGATTTCGGCAGCGTAGATTACTTACTCCTAAAAACGACCAGGTTAACCGTTTCGTGGAGGTGGTCTGCGAGGGTGTTCTTTACGCATACCACATCATCTGATCTAAACAAAGAACAGATGAAGGAGATCATAAATGCTGAGGTAAAGGCTTGCTGCAGTGTCTCAGTCAGACAACATGAGACGGCGCTAACAACACCCAATATCTGCTGCTCGTTCCTGACCGTTTGGTTCTCTCTCTCAGCGCTGCGTCAGCGCTGCTTCAAACGCTAAGTGAGTGCAGCGGTAGCGCTGCACTGTATTTGAGAATGGAGCGAAACTCAAATGCTTATAGCATCTTCGATCAACTGGCACCCGAAATGCCCGGAAACAGGGACAGTGCACAGCGCTCGTCGGTCGTGCAGCGCAAAGTCGGTGCAACATCGAGGATAAACTGCCCAGCGTCTGTGCACCGCGGCGACCGCCCCCATGCGCCACCTAGCGTTTTGTTCGTTTTTTCTTGCGTACGTCTGCGCGCCTGCTGTCAATTTCTCCTGTTTTTTCACTCGCGGATTAAGCGGTCACACACAAATGAACATCGTGGACGTGATTGTCAATGGGGTCAATAAGCGGGAGACAATTCTAGGGGTATATTTTGCCGATCATTGTTGGTTCGAGGAAGAGCTGTTATCGAAACCTTAGCTGTTATCGAAACGCTTCACAACGCTTTCCACGAAGTTCACAACTTTGGGGTGTTCCTTGCCAACGCAGCAGCCATTGGTAATGGCGGCGATGGTAAGAACCTCGTCATCTTTGCTGTCAGATGAGCTGACAAATTCATCGAGTGCCGCTGCGAGGCGCGTTCGTTTTCGCAAGGTCAATCTCGATAGACTGCGTGTCTGCTATTCCAGCCTTCACCTCATCTCCTTGATTCCCGCTCCTGGCCGCAATGCCTGATGGGACTGCACTCCGACGCACCTTCGAGTTTCTTGGTGCGCGTCGGGGCAACGAAAAACCGCACCTGGAGGGTGCGCTCCGCTGATCGTAAACGGCCGGTGCGCATCGGTGCACTCGGTCGAAGACGAAGGGGCGCACCTTGGTGCGGATGATCGAGGATGCGTTTAGAGATGTTCCCAAGGCCACGCCCATTCAGCTTTACACTTAGCGTAATGCTCGAATTTAAAACCGTAGCCGCGTAGTTATGAAAGCAAGTCATCTGCTCAAGGTAGTGCTGCGATACATCTGGTACGCTCACATCAATGGGGTTCGGCACCTTCGTTCATCCTCGAATTTCTCCCGCGACGAGCACGCGATATTCGAGACTCCAGCGACCTATTATAGGTGTCGCCACTATCGGGCAAATATGGCGGTCTAAACCAGGTCACGCCTTGCCATGCGCAACGCTCGGGTTTCAGCGGGCAAGCATTGAACTCGCAATGCTTGGCCCCGATTTGTATTCACTGCGTTCCAAACCCGCGGCGATGTTTTGGCATAAACGAGCTTCCAAAGGCTTTACCTTCTTCGGGGAAGCGATGGAAGGACTGCGGTGCTGATAAACGCACAATGCCCGGTTCACGTGGTAGCATAGAGGTTGCGTTCAGAGAGACCTGAAGCAATACGCTGATACGATAGTAACGATAGGGTGGCCAAGACATCTGTTCCATCGCGCCAACCGCCGACAAAATGAAATCGTGGAAGCCAGAGGCGACGAGAAGAAATCTCAAAATGACCTGTTCCGGCCAGTTCAGCGTTTTCCCGCCAGGTGCCGTCCGTTTTGCTGGTGTAGCGATTACCTCGGCTATTAAGTCTAGAACAGCGAGCGAAGAAGACGCGCGTACGCACCTTGACCTTCCTGGGCCCGTCGTGCGAGGTCCCCAGGGCGGAGCCGAGCCTCTTCCTGGGCGTGAGCATGCAGCGCACGCGGTCCAGGCGCTTCTCGATGGAGCCGAACACACGCTTGGCAGAGCCCGTGCGCACCGAGAAGGCACCGGCCGCTTGGCGCCGGCTGGGCTGTGGCGTCCGGAACGGGCTCAGCCGGAACTCCGCGTCGGCCGACGGAATCCTGACGAGGAGAAGCGGACAACATCGTGAGCCGCAGTCCCAGCAAGAGTGAAGGTATACTCCGTTCGCCCCTGAGCTGACAGTGTGGAGGGAGTCACGAGTTCGTTGGACCAAACCCTTTCATCACCTGAACCTGCTCTCTGCGCGTGAGCACGGGCGGGAGCGCCATCACGGGGCTAGAGACGCCCGACTGATCAAAGGAGCACTAGCTTCCACCGCACCGTTAGTTTAGGGGTGAATGGGGTAGCGTCGGAGCAAGAAGGGAAGGAGGAGAAAACACAAGTTAACCAAGGCGAACAGTCTCGGTTGGCTACTCGGTGTTGAGAAAGGGGATAGGGATATATGAAAGTAGGAAAGACATTATTCACGTTAGGGTTTAAGGCTGGTTCGCACACTGAACACGACCGACTGTGCCACAACCGTTATTAAAAAAAAAAAAAAAAAAAAACACTGAAATAATTTTTTTTTAGAAGCCCAGATGGGACACTTTTTTAGTAAATTTCTCTGCAAAAAAAAATAAATTTGTTGCTGCAATCTTTACGCCGTTAGACGCAATTTAGGGGGGGGGGGGTAGCCCTGCTCTAGGCCCCGCCCGGTGCTTACAAAACTGAGCACCTTTTCTCGTCTCATTGGTTGGAGAGATGACTGACGTGTGAAATGTTCGTTGTAAAATTGTGTCTCCGAGCCGTCATAGTACTATATTTATATCAACAGTATTTCTATGTTTGAGAAACAAATAATCAAGATAAAGTCATTATTGTTTTAAAAAAAATATCCCAATATTCCATTTCGGCTTCAAACAATAGCAAACATGGCTGCTAGCGTTTGCGGTGGGCTCAACGAGAGCGGCTCGTTGACCTCGTTTATTTTTATAACTACGACTCATTCAGCGTTCAACGAGGTATTTAGAGGAAGATCTCCTCAACCGACCTAGTTTGAAGCAAACAATTGTCGGAAGTACGCGCTTTCGGAAGCGCTGTGCGGTTGCTCAGCTTCGTAGCGGGACTGGCCTAAACCTAGCGTCCCACATCAACTATGTCGCTTGATCTGGCTTGAATTGTTCCTTTGCGCGTGTTGGTGTCAAACAAAGATGTTGGTTCCCGTAAAAGCGGTCCCGCCGGTCTGTGAATTGTGCAACCGTAGTGATTGCAACCGTTGTGATTGCAACCATAGTTTAATACCAAGATACCTACCTACACAGGCAAGCATTTGTGAGCCGGAGGCCATCGGGTGTTCGGCTCGCATGAAGTTTGCTCCCGTCATTTCGTTTCGAAAGGCAAGTAGCTCAAGTTTTTAGTGCACCTGGTCTACCAAAGCAAATATATTTAAGTAACGTTTTAATTGTGCGTCATGACGCTCACGAACCTTGCTGGCGGATGCCATGTAAAAAGAATAGCAAGACCAGTGAAGCTGAAAGGACCGCATATTTACTTTGTCGATTTTTTTCGTCCTCTCGGTCGCCAATTACCGCACATCGATAGACGCTGACAGACGCTTGTGCTGAACCGAGGCTCGTGCATGATGGAACGCTAGAACGCCGCTTTAATGGTCGCGGTTTCTGAGCGTTGCAGAAGTTTTTAGACGGAGGCGGAATAGCACACGCACGGAGACGAAAATGGACGACGACGCGCAGCTTTCGTATTCGCGCGTCACGGGCATTGTAGACGATAGACGGTGGTGAAATAGCAGGCGATGCCGGAGGCTGCCGCGCGTCTCCTCGCAAGGCTAGCAGGTGGTGCCAGACGTCAGACTAGACGCAACGGATGTCGCAAAAGGGAGGCACTATCCTTGTTTGCATGTTCAGCCGAGCAGCCAAGCCAATCCAGTAGTAATGGGCGGGGCAACTGATCCGTGGGCGGGGCTTAGAGTGTGCCATGACCTAGACCTAAATTGCGTCTAATGGCGTAAATATTGCGCGCATATATTTTTTATGTCGAGAGAAAATTACAAAAAAAAAAAAGAAAGTCTCATCTATGCCCTTAAAAAATCTTTTTTCTTCATTTTAGTGTTACCTTAAATCTCAGGTTTTGACTGCCTACAACCGCCTGCGCAGCAGCGCAGCCGGTGGTAAGCAGTCACTCGGGGTGCTATAAAAGAGACACTAGACCATTCATGACTCCAGCGAACTATAGGGGGCGCGCTGGTCGGGCAAAATGGCGGACGAAAAGAGGACGTTTTCGTCGTTCAGCAAGCGGACCGCCATAAATAGTTTGCTGTGCAGCGTAAAATCGGTGTTACATACGAAAGCAAAGCGATTTTTCGACGGTAGAAAGCTTCTTCTAGTCAGTGCGTAGGAATGACACGGCGGAAGCATAAAAATAATTACTGAGAACGATGTTTGTTTCGATGCTGCCTACGAGAACCAAGCAGAGATAGCAGACGACAGTGTCGGAACGACCTTCTCTACTAAGGTTCTCGGCGTTGCCGCTGCGCGGCGTGAATTTCGCTGGAGTCGCCAATAAATCAGCTCAAACACTCTGGCGTCACGTGACAGAGGTGGCGCTGTCCTCGGTAGGACGGATGCGCAGACGCTTCACTCCACGCTCGGTGCGGTCAAACGCAGGCGCAGGTTTCTTTGTAAACAGCGTGCTTGCGTACAGGAAAAACACTGAGACGCCCCTATCACTGTCAAGACACCCTAACCAAACGCAAATTTCGCGTTCATGTTTATGCAGAATAAGGTCGATTTGCCTTTGAGGCGTGGCGGCACATGTTTACGCTGTATATGAGAAATTTGACCAGTCTGGGTTCCTTAACGTGCGTCACTCAGTAGTGATACACGACCGTACGCCGGTACGATGCTGATGCAGATCGAAACGGGCAGGGGTAGGGATTGAACCCAGGATCCCTGGATTCTGCAGCGCAAGCTTTGGCTCCACGTATTCCGAGCCGGTGTGCGTGTAGCACAAGGTGTAACATACTTTTATATACTCTATCAAGTTGAGGGGCGACCTAACCAATAGTATTAAACGAACCTAGATAGCTTGTTGGAAAAAAGGACACTTTGTGTGTCATCATGCTTCAAGCGCATGACTTGCAACCAAAACCTATAAATTGTGACATCATTCGACACATTGATTTTGTGGCGTCACTATTTGGCACACTGCCTCAAAACAAATGTATCAGGATTAACATAACGTACTAGTTGTTATTGCGTTAGATAGACAAGGCTCTGTATTTTCATGATTAGGCATAAATGTCACCTTGACAAACTTTTCTTTTTCCAACAAGAGGTCATGACAAGAAACATCGGCGTCAACAATCATCGCCTGTTTTCTATAGCGGCATCCGGAGAAAACGTTTGGTGGATTCTGCTGACTCTCAGTTGCCCACATTACACGCTACCAGGTTAGAAGAAGCGTATTATAGGCGGGCAGGTTCTTTACGCGAAATCTAAATGCTACTGGCGGCGAGACGTTTTGGTGGCGCCCTTCCATGGTTCCCTCTCGTGACGGTATTACTTTGCGAACGATTTTGATGGTGCTTGTAATGAGCATGGTGAGAGCTTAAAATCATGGCGCCCTGAAACCAAACTACACCGAGGGTCCTAAATCAATATCAAACAGATATCAACTAAAAGACAATGTCATCGGTAGTGGATATTGGCGACGTGCGCGATCAAAAGCGTCGCTGTGGCCGGCCTGCCGCGATCGGCCGAATGCCGACTATGACGCCAGTAAAAGATTTATCATCGACGAAAATAAGAGGAATGAAAGAACTTGAATTTTGACCGTGTTGGCAGTGCTGCTTTGAGAGCGAAACGATTTCAAACCTCCACCATGCTAATTGCAAACACCATCGAACTTGTTGTTCGTAAGGCAATGACGTCACGAAAGGGAACCACAGGGGGACGCCACCAGAACATCTCGCCGATAATAGAGAGTTTTAGTAGATCGTTCCCATGACTCCGATAACTATATCCCGATAGTCCGCCACCGCCTCCCTTGCGCATGCATAGTATCGTTATCGGGGCTATCGGAGGTATCGGAACGATCTACTAAAACTCTCTAATACAGAGTATTCAGTGGACGCCATATTTGTGAATGATGTTTAGAGCGCATGCTCAGAACGAGCTCACAATGAGGGTGTGGAATGCACGTTGCAAAAGAACTGAAGAAGCTCGCCATCAGCACGCGTGCGGCGTCGCACGACGAACGCGACGCTAGCACGCGGCGGCGACGCCAGGCGGACGCCTCTGCCGCTTTGCGGCGTCTCTCGCCGAGTTTCAGCGTGTTTGCCGCTTGCGGCGGGTCGGGGATTTACAAGCAATGACGGGGGTCACAGGCACTTCCTTGTCCAAAATCCATCCTCTTCAGAATCGTCCGGTAAAGAGGTTTCGGCAAAGAACGCGCGTGCACATCGTGAGCGCGAGTTCATGGAACACAATCGTGTGTTTCTATTCCCGCACTTCTGAAACCGTAATTTCGAAAGCAAGTCGATTCGAAGCTGCCCAGTGACCACTATGGCCGCGCGGCAGGTGAAGCACGGTGCTACGTCGAACGTGGGCCCGAAAATACACGCTCTGCAGAACACTTCGTTTGCACACAGTCGCGCAGGAAAGCGCTTTCGGAAAACAAAGCGCTCGCGCCCGTGACAATACTGAAGATATGTGCTATTGGCAACGTTGGCTGTTGGATATTAAAGGATATCGGGGGCAGTTGAAGAATCTCTGACAACCACACTCTCTCTGGCTCTGAGACGTTCAGTTACGGATTTCCGTCACACCTTAGAGAGATAGAGGTCCCGTATACGTATAAGAGATGCTTCACGGGGTAGCTCGTGTACTAAGAAAGGAACTAACTGGGGCGGTGTGCACGGCGAATCAACGAGCAAGCGTAAAGCTATTTCCAAGTACCGTGGGTCGAATCACGACCGGTCGCAATTGCCCCAATATTTTCTTTTTCTTCATTCTTTCTTATTATATAGGTTGCGATTACGGACTCCAGCGTATGGAGGAACTTGAATACACACGAAAGATCACAAAACATGCCGATATCGAAG